GCTGATCGGAACGTTTTGTAGCTGTAGATCTTCAGGTAAATTAACAAATGGATATCCACCGTATCTCTGTACGATGAGTTGATTATTCCGAAACATAATGGCAGAATTAGAGTCCGAAAATCCTGACGGTCGTGATCATTGGTATAAATTCACATTTGATCGTAAATTTTAAGATTTTTTTCGTCTGCTTCTTTGATCTTAGATCGATAGTTAAATTTTGAGATTTGTTGCATATTTTTTTGCAAAATTTTCATATCTTCACTATAGCCGCAAAATTTTTATATGTTAATTAATCTTTACTTTAGGGGTTCACGTCGCGGTGGTGTTACCAGATCTGACAAGCCACTTCCAGATGGCCCTCCGTACACGGTATTTGTTGGCAATCTTCCACCGGGAACAGTTCAGGGCGACATCGACGAGATGTTCAAAGAACTTAAGGTGCATTGTTTGTTGCATTTTTAAAACAACTGGTGTCCCGAATGTGTTTTCTTAAAGGTCAGCAATGTTCGGTTGGTGCGAGATAGGGAAACAGACCAGTTTCGAGGTACGAGGAGGAAATGTTAGCTTTTGGTACCTTCAAAATCAGTTAATAATTATAGGTTATTCATATGTCGAGTTTGACGATGTAGCTTCGGTTGAGAAAGCTTTGGAATTCAATGGCGCTGTAAGTGACTAGTTTTAAATGTTTTGAATAAGTTTGAATCGAAATACTAATTCTTTGCTTGTTTGAATAATAGTTATATTTCTTTGTTTCATTATCCATGTTTCAGTGCAGCAGCTTACCTGTATGATGTTAAATTGCTTGTTCACCGACGTCTTTCTACGCCGCTAAGCGGCGTCGATGAATAAAAGATTTTACGTCGTTTTGGTAATCCTCTTGATTCGACCAATGATCGCAAAAGGAGATATTACTTATTCTTTCGTTTACTGTTTCGTTCCTGTTTCTTACGTTTTATAACCTTCCTAATATAGAATAAAAATTTGGAATTAGATTGCAGTACCTTGGATTTAGCTTCATCTACCGTAGTATGTTTTTTTGAGGCTTTGAAACAATTAAAGCGTAAATCATTCTTGAAACTTTCTCGCCATAAATCCGAAGTTGGGTTAGTCTTGGCATTTCCTTGCTTTCTACAACGTTGCATAATTATTGTGAAAATTATTCGTAACAACGCTTTCTGTCTTGCCTTTGAGCATTTGGAAGTACTGCATTAAGCTTACAGCTGAAATATTATCTAAAATTGGCAGTATTCATGCATCGAAAGAAAGGATTTGAACAAGGAGCTCATTTGTAGCGTGCTCTGTTCATTGAATTTACGGCATGCAAATTATGACGCTTGCTGTTCACAGAATGTAACAATATGATATAAAGGCATAATATACTTTCAAAATACATGTCGTTCTTGATTTACATGTCAAAATTGACTCATCCATTGTTTTTGGTAGCGTGAGGGATCCCATAATCAGTTCACAAATACATGGCATTATGAAGTTTCAAAATTTACTGCTTGAAGTGAACATTTTTTAGCATAAGATTATGAGACTCTCAGTGCACAAATGCTAAATCTGATTGTTGTGCTGTTTTGTGCCATATCCTGTTTGAAACATTAACCAAAAACATTTTTGTCTTATGTTTCATACAAGCACTGACCGGATGAAAAGCTGTATTTAAACAAAATGTTCTTCATTCATAAGTAGAACACAGGCACATCATTTCTCTAGATTTGTACTGTATATGCTATGCTGCCATGGTTCTGCAACTTACCTAGATGGTACCGTAGGCCGATTGAAGCAAGCTAGCAAGTAAAACTTAAAATTTTTCCCACCTGCGGTGGTGAAAATTTTTTCCATAGATTATGTATCATTTATAAGGTAAAATATGAAGTAACAGTAGTATTATGTAATGCAGTATGTAAAGTATATAACCTAATATGTAAGAAGATTGGAGACCCATTGCAGATGCTGAGATGCTAAGGAGCCTAACTTAGTTAGCCCCATAAACATCTAAGATGAATGGGAATAACCGTTATAGAATAGTTCGGCTCCATGTAATTATGTTAATTAGCTGTACGTAATAGAATTTGCTAACCTCTAGTATCACTTTTTTCTTTCCAACGATATAAAAAGCGGAAAACAATGATAGAATCATAAAAGTATTTCTTTTATTAATGTAGTTGTTTGCCTTCTGATCGTGTTTTCAGTAGCTGTGATGATTTAAATGTTTTAAACAACGGCTCGACTTATTAATGACCGAAATCATTTCACTCGAATTAGAAATACATTGCACGAACTAGCTATCCCTGCTCTATAAGTAAATACATTCGCGTGTGATCAGTGTATAGACTTGCTGCATCGATTCAGCAGTATTCGCTTCATCCCTGAATCCAATGTAAGCTGGGGAAACTGCGGGAAATATTTTGTTCATTTGACGAATTTTTACTGAGATGGTATTTTGATGTCCTAGAAAACGCAGCTGTTATTCTTGGTTGTTTTGATGGCTTACGAATATTTTTCAAAAATTGAGCAAGGTATCTACTTTTACGAAGAGTTCATCACAGTCTGCAAATCAGCTTCAAACCTTCAGATGTCGGATTCTGTTCTGAAAGCATGGGTGATGTACGTTAAATTGGAGAAATCGTGAAAAGTCGTTTAAACGCTGGCCTTTTAAATCTGGAGCTACTTTAATGACATTATAGTATAAAATTTTCGCTGCGTATGAATTGTAGATTGTTTAGCGTTTATCCAGTACCAGTGATACTGCGAACATTACTTGGCTTCATAATTTGTGAAATATTATCTGCTTTAGGTTTTGTCATATGTCTACCTTAAAACAGGTTTTAGATTTTTATGAACAAGAAAATTCGTGTTGATATAGCCGAAGGAAGGAAGAATAGCCAACGCAACCGTGGTTTTCAAGGAGGTCGTGGGGGAGGATTTCGCGAAGGTGCAGGTTTTCGTTCCGGCGATCGCGATGGCGATAGCCGCTATGGCAGCCAGGAAGGTAAAGCTTTTGATTTCTAACGGAAAATGACCTTCATTTACAGTTTAAACAGTTAATAAGGAAATTGCGGTATTGCGTTTTATTCTCATCGGTATAATGGCACTTTACCATATTTAGGGTTTCATTTGAAATGAGTGATTGTTTAAATCTGTTTTTCTCAATGTCCGCTGAAAATCATGGAGTACCATGCGAAAATCAGGGGCAAAAACAACCAGAGAATCAAATGATAAACAAATACAAGGGCAAAACTGACGGCTTCAATAGGTCTGCGTGATTACCGCTGATGGAGACTTCTTATGAGCAGCTTACTCCGGCTGCCGCCGAATAATGCGGTTTTAAATGTGATAAGATTTCTCCAGGGTGTAAGAAACGAACTTTCTGAGAGACATGAGGTTCACCTTGTTGTTAGCGAGAAGAAAGCTGCATTCAAGATTTGAAGACTTGGAATGTAAGAGCCGTCAGTTAAAATACGGCACGAAGAAATGCGCAGAACGGCAACAAAAGCACAGCTCGATTCCCTGAGAATAGTTCGGTAAAGTGCTGGAATCGAATTTCCATACTGACTAACAGGGTATTCTGACCGACAGCCCGCTTCCTCTGAGAGGGAAGTCTAACAGTCTTGAAGGACAATCCAGATGACATCGTACCAAAAAAGACATTCTTCAGAGATGAAGAGAGTACTTTGAAGAATTTATTAACCCTGAGTATCCGTGGAAAGCTTTTCTTGAAAAGTAGCAAACAGCGGATATTAGCATTTCGATAGATAAAGTCACAGAAGCTGTAAACAGCTTGAGAACTGGCAAGGCGACTGGAATCCGTCATTAACTGCTTAAAGATTTATCAGATCAAGGCATGTTGTGGTGAACGTGTCTGTCTAACGACAGTGGCTGTGGAGAAGACGCACTGGACAAGAAAACGGGGAATATAGAAGGATGTCCATAGGGAATGCAGTAATTAATTTTAAGTAACAACTGTTAACTGGAAACATTACTACGTTCAGCTAAAAGGGTGATTTTTTGGAAAATCATGCCGAACAGTAAGTATGTTCAAAACCTGTTTAGTTCTTGTATTTGCCCATATGGTTTTTTTTCGGTCTTTTTTTTCGACTTCGTTATTACTGTTTAGTTTGGTCTCTGTAGACAGCGTGTGCATTTCACACGAGTATAAATAATTAATCTTCTCAGATAACAAGCATGGATGAATTAGTTACACAATAGGCTATTGTGTAGATTAAGTTTTTCGCATGGAACCTCTGTTTTTACGATGTTAACGATGACAAAGATCATTGTTTTGTCTAAGTGAGATCTTGTTCTTCTGAGTTTCTTGGTAATGTTGTAATTAAATTTGAAATCACAATGTTTTGGCAGTGAAGAAAATGCTGTACAACGCATCTTAGGTATGCGCGGACGTGATCGCGGTTTTGGTGGACCCCGGAGTATGAGAAGCAGCGACTATCGACCTCGAGAGGTGAACGAGGAGGAATTCAGAGTTGCAGATCCAGGTTAATTTGTTTCTTTATTGATGCCATTTATTTTTCATTAGTTTTCATCGTTGATATGAACCTTAACTGTGCCACCTTTTGTCAGTGGCTCTATCTCAAGCCTGTTGGATAAGTCCGTCTGGCTCACAAGTGCTTCCAGTGGGTATACAGTCAACCGCCTTCTGCTAAAATATTTACAGTAAACATATGTCGAGATGTATCAGCTAATACTTTCTAATGCCTTACTAATCCATCGTTTTAACATTAATAACAATTCTTTCAACAAATTTTAAATTCATCGTCGTCCAGAAATTCACCAGTGTGAAATTCATGACTTTTGTTTAGATTTACATTAAACTGTATTCCACTGTCTTTTTTACGAGAAGACCAGCTCAGCAGGAAGAAGACGACGTGAGACTAGGTGTATATGAAGCTGTTATGCTCTTCAGTTAAAACTACACGGCTTAAACGCGATTAAGCTGAAGATTTACTGCTTGTCCAAGATCAGCAAAGAAATTTGTTGTTGAGCGTTGGTAAAGAGAAAACAAATTCGCGTAAATTAATTTACAGGTAAACTGGAATAAAACAGTAAAAGCTGTTGAAATACAGGCAGTGTTATGCCGGAATTTGCTTCAAATTTCGAACAAACAGTTAAATACGGGATGATAACGCATTTCGAATTTACTATTTGCATATTTGTATAATGCACGATCCGTCTTCAGGAGAAGACATAGTATGAAAAGAGAATATTACCGCTTAAATCAAAATGTTCAGATACATACTTCACTATCGAGACTGAAACATCCATAGTTTTGGCGAGGTGTTAGTGGTGTTCAAGTAGTTAATGATAATTATTCATAATCCATTTTTTATCATATCCAAACGTAACCAGCAGTTCCTATAGTAAGCCGTAGTTTCTTTCTGATTTCCACCTTTCTTAATGAACGTCCTTGCTATATACAAGTGAACAATTGTTAGTAACTTTATCGTTTTCTTGAAGTTGTTCTTGTTAATGCTATGAAGCTCCTTGTTGAACTGAATTATATCGAGAGCATTATTTTTTGCTATCATTGTTTAGGTTTCTGGTACATTTTTTCCAAGGTAAATGAAGTATTAAGAGGCTTATTTTAGTGATAAATAGTGAGTAAGGCCAAGTTACTAAACCGACGTAGTCAACTAAACTTCTGTTGGTTAAATGATGAGCATTGACTGTTACTTAAGTAAGATCTTGCTTCAATGCCGCTACAGTCTGTGAAAAAAACTGCCGTACCATCTGCTGTATTTGGTGCCATTAATCATGAGTCATTCACACACCTGTCTATGTAACTATTGCCCCATAATCTAAAACCTGAAGTATTATTTACTGATCGGTTGTTTCTTTTCAGTTTGTCAGTGGGTGCAGATACGTGAATGATAATTATCCGGAGGGTGACAACTCAATTTATGACTGAGGCAACCTTCAGGTCAATCCAATCATTTCTTAAATTTGACCAGATCCAGGTATTTCAGATGTGCCGGGTTGCCTGTAGTGAATAACTCTTAGATATGAGGGATAACTGCGAATTAGCAGTCGTGAACGTGGCGACAGTTTTGAGGATGTGACAAATTACCGTTTGGTTCGGTTAGCTATAGAAAATACCCCAATGCTTGATCACAGCATGATCACATCTCGAATACATGTCGCAGTCATATAAGCAAGCAGCCAATTGCAACCAGCCATAACTTTTTCAGAGCTTTTCTGATGTAGAGGAGTTGACATCAGGCAAATAATGGACCATAAACGCTTACACTAGAGCGAAATATTATGAGTCAACTTACGCACAGAAGGAATGATATAACATTGCCCACAGGCGACGGCATCACAGCAATTCCTGGCGGCTGTGAGAATTATCGAATATCTAGATGGAACCTTGGAACGATAACAGAAGTATATGGAGTTAGCGGAATGTCTGCAGAGAGGGAAAGTTCGGATCGCTTGCTTCCAGGCGACAGAATGAAAACTCATTTACTGTGACACATTTGCATCAGGAAAAATGGGTTGTAGTTGTGTTGAATGAAGCAGTCAATGACAGGAATTCAGTGGCAATCGAAATAAAGTAATGCACTTTTAGCGGGCGGTTAAAAGTGGTATTTTAAATGTGTTTGCGCCAGTCAGACGGATCACGCAGAAGTTGAAGTTGAAATTGTCGAATAACGTAGACTATGAACTACAAAATATACTCTGAATCAAAAAGTAGTAATCAAGGTAGCCTTAACGTTCGAGTCAGGAAACATCGAATGGGTTAGGATAGGATCCATAGCAGAAGTGGGTGTAGTATCTTAGACGAAGAAGCGAAGATATTGCAGATGATTCTGGATCTGACAAGTACGTTCTTCCAGAAACGGGAAAGCCATCGGCTCACGTACAACAGCATGCAGATGAAAAGTCAGATCTACCACTTCTTGTTCTTAAGTAATGAACTGATGAACGCATGAGTTTGCAATGTCATCTCAGAGTAAACCGTCACCACTTTTCTAGATTGACTAGATTTCTTTTTGAAACATTCCTAAGAAAGTGGGTGCAGCAGACCCGTAGATATATTGGTGAGAGCTCCAATGGAAGTTCAGAGAAACGTTCAAGGGAGGTTAGGAGAAACATGCCGAAGGAACACTGGAACAGGAAAATGGACGAAGTATGGAACAGATGGCCTGCACAGTCATGCGAATATCAGAGGTCTAGTCAGAAAAAATGGCACAACGTATGCATAAAGAAACGTGGAAATGAAACGCAGATGTTCAGGCGTAGAAGGAATTGTTCGAGAAATGGTAGATGTCAAACAGCAAGGAAGAAGGATAACATAGGTCATAGCGAAGAAGAAAGTCGTCGTCAAAGAAAACTCAAAACCGTTCAACAGCTTATACAAAAAACCGGCAACTAAGGAAGAGGAGAAATACATCTATCGCATAGCAATAATGAGAGAAAGAAAAACGAGAAACGTCAGTAATGTAACGTGCATAAGATGCTTAGTAGAAAGCAGAATGGTATGACCGACAAGAAAAATATCCGTAACCAATGGCGAAGGCACATCTAAGCGCTACGAAACGAAGAACATCCCAGAAAGGGCGCTTAAAAGAACCCTTAAAACCAGGGTGTAGTTGAAAAGGTCTTACCGGCGAAAGTGGAACAGGCGTTGAGCAGAATGAAAAGTAATAAGGCCAATGGCCAGGATGGAGTTGCTATA